AATAGGTGAATTTCGGATGCCGGATTTGGTGATTACTCTAGTTTTAGTCACGGATGTTATTATATTTGTAAGATTTTCAGTAAATTTCTTCCATGCGACCAACGGATTAGCTTCTTCGTCATAAGAAACCCACTGAGCAGAGAGCGCCAAGTATATTGTTCGAGGGAGACGTGGAACGGTTTAGAGTAAAAATGCATTCAATACATTTTTCGGGGTTAATATTGTTACCGGATGATGTGGAATACGGAACGAGGTGGAATAAGTTAATATTATATTGAACCACTTCTGATTGGTTAGATACGGAAATAGAAATCGCAATATCATCAGCATACCTAAAATGTCGCACAGGGGAGTAATGGGTAAATCACTGATATAAGTCGATAAAGATAGGGTGATAGGACTACAGCTTGAAGTACACCCGAGCTATTGAGTGATGCGGTTGACTGTCTTCTTCTCAATTCAACATACTGATATTTTTGGGGAAAGTAATCAGCAAACCATTCAAGAAGAAAAGCGAGACAGACAAACGATTTAAGCTTGTTAAGTAAAAGAGAACGGGGGACCAAGTCAAAAGCGGAATACTAATCAATAAACGCGCAGTGCATATATTTGGCTTTCTTGTTTAGGGACTTAGAGATGAAATGGGCTGGGGAATGATACATTGAAACAATTGTTCAAGGACTTGATTCTGCACGAGGAAGTCTTTTCCACAGGTGAATTCATGCAGGATCCGGGAAATATCTTACAAAGCGGCATCCGTGTTTCCATTGAATCTTATCTTCTATCACCCATCAGTGATAAGGTAACTATTGGCGAACATTTTACGAGCCTCAACCAAATACCCAATAAACCGCCTGATGTCATGGTCATGGACAACTGTAACTCATCCTTACCACCATTTGTCTCATGCCCCCATGTGTGAGCCTTGCAAAGTTTCCAACATGCTGTGCAAAGATTTGACGAGTTGGTCAGTGATGCATCGAAGCTGAGTAAAAAATGGAAAACCTGTAGGCAAAAGACTGTTGCCCTTGGCATTGTTCATAGAATAAAATAGTCACTCCAAGAATCACATAGCGAGAAATGGAGCAACATAATTTGTGTTAGGAACAGAATAATTTCGAATTCAACTTTACTATTCCAGTAAAATACCGTTATTTATTTCAAGCTGTTCTTGTGCCGTTGTTAAGTTTCTTGTCAAGCGTGTTTTTCAGTGCCAGCACAATTGTTCTATCGTTTCACACTGCTTTATCCCTCTCACGCGTTACCTTAAATATTTAAATTTTCCTCAAGCTTGTGCACAATAAGATTGAAACATTTTTCGCGATTTGAGCAACCGGGAACAGTAATGTTTGTGCTGCTCTTCTTAGCCAGATGTGTGTTATTGGCACTCCTGCTTTGCTCAGTCGAGGACCACTTGGCAATCTAATTATTGGCAACTGTGGGTAAGGTCTGCGTTTTCGCTCGGGTTGACTGGTCACGCATCATGTCCCATGTTGCATCTGCACCATCCGACCCATCGATCGTGTTATTGTCGAAACTGCACACGAGAATGCGTTGTGAGTTCTATGCCGCTTAAGCGTTGGCCTATCATCACCGCAGGTGAATGAGTTGTGAACGGGATGATGCACCTTCTGTGAAATTCAGATTGCATGATGTTTCTGCTCTAATGACGTCTCAAAACTAGACTGATCTAGGACATAGTCAACATTCTTCTGGGACGGTCCTTCAACGGTCCTTGAACTCAAGGATCACTCATATTCGAATCACTCAAGAAGGTATTACAACGGTGAGCCAAATGGTGGAAGAATCACAATGGGCTGTCCGTTGTGATATCACCTGCTATTAAGATTGCACCGTCAGCGGTCCTATACATGCTTGCTCTTTCAAAACGAGTAGACAGCTGGACCAACTGGGAGGATGCGAGCCATTAACAGTTAAGCCACAAAAAAGAGAACATGCATGATGAACATGGTTCTTTTCTGAGCAAAACATTCATAAGACTCAATCTAACATTCGCACGGTGTAGTAACAAGTAACCAATTAGGGCCTTATGCGGTTCGCCACTCCATATCCCGGGGCTTAGGTTACCGGTTTCCATCACTGAACAGCAGGTCCTCGTAACTACGGGGTCCGCCCCGTTTTCTGTTCATCACACGAAAGTGCGTAATAAAAAAGTACATACGAATAAGTGAAACGCGGCTGACGAAGGCCAAGTCACGAAGACTATTATTGAAATACCTTTTTAAGTAACGCAGGTAATGACAAGCAGTACTAGGGAAAGGTTTGCAAGATACTTACAAAGAAGAGGTAAAATACTATTTTACATGTATTTTTTAATTGCACAGTACAGCAAATTGAGGCTTAGTTCGGTTGTAAGTTGAGGAAAAGATAAGGAGTGGGACGGTATGCCATAACTTAGTAGTTCTGGATAACTGGAAGAATATAACAGAACGTCACGATATATGGGACCCGAAAACTGATGACGATGATTAGATGAATTAGCACTGGATGGGCGAGGAAAAACTTGCATAAAGAGCAACTGCCGAGATAACGTCCGAAGAACAAAAAGCAAAGTAGTGGCGGTAGAGCAGGGACAATGAAGAAACTGCTCGATGATGAACTACTGACTGCAGACTATACCTTTTCAACTTCAAGTGAATCCAACCAATCGCACTCCATTGGAAACCCCGACACGATGAGTGGTGTTTCGGCCGTCAAATGTCACCGATTGAACCGGGTCTGTCTAAACCCCCGCCAGTTCGAATGGACTAATTTCTCGGTGAAGAAACAAAAGTACATTTTTCTCGAGTTACCGAACAAGGTTAAATGTCTAGGGAGTGGGTCATAGTGGGCCGTTCTACCCCCACACACCTGTTTCACTCGGAAACGTTATGTTCATGATCGTTGATCGAGTGTGCGTCATAGATACGAATGAACTAACCCGAAGTTAACTGACCTCTGTCGGTCCGGTAAGGAAGCGAATCACACCAAGATGGATCGATAAGTCGGTCACCATGCCCAGACGTGAATGTGAGCATGATTCTTTGTATGAGTGGAGTCAGTCTAAGCCCACAATAACCCAATGAGTTAATTCTATTGGGGCCGAGTTTCTCTCGAATAAAATCGATTCCTTTGAATCAAATGCGATCGCATACGTAGTTCTGACTTTGAAATGCACACTTCACAAGAAACTTAGCATGCATAAGATGATGGGGTGACTACTGTAATTAGTTTCTCCGCTCGAGTCCAAATGTACGCGATTATTTTGACCAAATCGACCCCATCAGTTGATAGCTTGTATCATTTACACCCTAACGATCAGCATAATGTCGACCTGCCCAACCCAGTCTACTGTTTTTACATGGTCGTTCGGTTTGAACGATGCATTAACTTTCTGCCTCGATTTTCCTTTAATCACCAAGTGCATTGGAAAACACTGCGTACCGAGAGACCGGTTCTGTATTAAATTATCAACGAACGCACACTGGATAACCAACACACTGTAGTTGTAAATGTGCCATAATGTCTACGAACTATCTAATGCACCCGGCCTATCGACTTCAAAAATGATAGAACATTCCTGCTTATATCTCCCATTCACAATAAAGTTCAGTGGTTAGACAAAGAACAAATGTATTAAAAATCAAGCATTTTGATAGCTGTCGGATAATGTACACGAACATGTTCAGTCGCATGCTGACAATGATCCTTCGTGATATGAGATTTGGCATCACCAGCAATGCTTTCCAAACATGCCATCCTCCAGTCCTGTTGGTTCATTTTTCCTTCGGGATCACCCGTCATAATCTTGGCATGCTGATTTCGGAGCTCCGTTTTGATGTAACTTTTCATAATGCCCCATATCATTTCGATCGGATTCATCGCTGGAGAATGCGGAGCAAGTCTGAGAATGCTCACTCTTACTCCGGAAACGACGTTTTCCAGTTTAGAATGACAGGGTGCGTTGTCACACACAATCACATATGACTTGTGCTCTTCCTGCAATAGTTGATCAACTAGCGTTTGCAACCATTGCAGACACAATACGGAGTTATAGGATCCCCTTTTCAGAGTATAGTTCAACAACCCGTCTGCATTCATATCACTTATGATGTGCAGATGTCTTCCTCTTGAACTGGTCACTGGTATCCGACGCCTTTGACCTCTTGGTGCACGCCCATAATTTCTTGAACAATGTAGGTTGAAGTTGGTTTCATCAATCCAGATAATCTCATGTCCAAGTGCCTCGTAACATTGCAGGTGTTGGACATATCTAAGAAGGAATGACTCAAAAACAGGTGGTTACATTACCTTTTTCTCTTCTCTTTATTATCCAGTAAGATCATCGTTACTGGTATTTGATGAATCTTTTTGATAGTAATCAGTTTCCCATCTATATAGTTGCTGATAGTTGTGATGGAGACGTCTTTGTCGTATTCAGTCATGAGTTTGATCCGTAGAAACGACAGTGTCACAGTTGGATTCTCCTCAATCCATGAAATGAATTCCTCTACATGGTGATTTGATAACCTGTTGAACCGTCTTCCTCCGTAGGTGAATTCTGACGGTTCCCCTTGATGTCTTCTTACCCATGTCATCGCCGTCCTTTTCTTCACACCAAGCAATACAACGATCATCAATCGGTCATCACCATTGTCCTACGCTCGTAGTACACTAAACTTACGATTCATTGCAGGATACCGCAGCACATAAATAAGATGTAAATGTCAAGCGGTAAGTCAGAGGATATTTATATCAAGTAGATAAACTAATCCACCAATGAATATTTGAAAAAAAATTCGAACTTGCTAATGCCCCTCTAACTTATGGCAAGTACAACACAGTTGCCTAATCATAATCCAACAGACTTTTGTTGCCAGCACAAACCCCTTTGATTGTTTGGTTGTTTCCAGTCCATTATTTTATTATCGTATCACTGGATGTTCATAAAGCACGACAATGATTGATACGGTTACCACCAGAATGAGATCAAATCAATTCGACAGATTTCTCGTCCAGATTGTTCATTTGGAAAACAAGAAAATGTGGATTCCCTATCAGAATGAGCAGTCTGATCTACTTGGTCATGCTTTATGAACATCCAGTGATAGGATCTAATGACCTGTGTTAAAATAAGTTGAAAAAAACGTTGAAGTTGAAAAGATATAGATGTCAGGCAAGGATTATTGATCAGGCGGATGGCCTTTCCTAGAACACGATAAAGAAGATAAGGAGAGGAAGAGAAAGCCTCACCCCATGCGTGACTGTTATATTCAAGAGCAAGGTGGAAATGAGTTTGCAGCAGTAGAATATGAGCTACAATGACAAGCGTCTGGTGCGAAATAAAAAAGAACAGCACTGAGAGCAGTACAAGAAGGAAGCCGAGCTATAAAAGGAGACCAACATAAAGATAAATTGATCGCAAATCCAAGAAGTCAAACAGAGTATGTGGAGTGCAGTTGGTTGGAAACAAATGATACCTGGGGGGGATTAAGTGGTGTGTCAGAGAAATTGAATGAAGAAGGTCTTTAGAACCATCGATTGAAACGTGGTTGGCGTTGCCCCAGAAGGAGATATTTTCCAGGTCGTAGCCCAGTGACAACTTAACCGCACTAATTTCACGACTGATAATGTTTTCGGCATGAAGATTAGTGCAGTAAGACGGGGGGCAGTGTAGGCAGTTGAAATTGGAAAAATAATAGGTTAGGTTGACAGTTTTGGGAAGTTGATCTTTGACAAATAGATGGAAGAGGATGGGCGCAAATACTTAACCTTAGGGAACGCCAGCATTCACAGGAAACGGTTGAGATAGAACTTCATCAACTCGGTTATCGAGTCCAGCCGACGAGGATCGTGAGACAGGAGCTGGCAAGTTACCGGTGGCAGTCACTCAGTGGTTTGACATGTTCGAGGAACATGAGTAGTTGGTTGAGCAAGATGGCTTCAAATACTTTCCGAAGAACAGATATGAGGGGAACGGGATGTTGATTGTTCGGGTCCAAAGGGGCGTGGCTTTTGGGAATGGGAGAATCTTGGTGTGTTTCCAAGGACAACTGTGTGAGCCTGTTAGCAGTATTTTCTGTATGGGTAGACTATTCGCAACTATTTACAACAAGTTACTGAATGATGTCAGCTCTACAAACGAGAGAGCCGCCAATGCACGAGTGTTCACTGGGGTGGGATGTACTCGAACGACTGTGGATAACCTCAAGCCATTCGACAACTGTATAGAGTGACAACAGGACGTTTTACATACGTGCGGTTTCGCATTCTCGCCATGCAGAGGCGGTCAGTATCCGTCTTCGTAAACCCCTTTTTGTGGTAAACACAACTTATGCAAGAAGTCAACCTCCATGGCCTGATTGTGGACTGCTAACCTGACATTCGAATAATATGAGACTAAGACCTGATCGCGGTTTAGAATCTCTTCATTACTGTACCGCGAGTAATCGACTTTGCTCGCTTAATTACACTTGCACTTTACTTCCGACACTTTCAGAAGTACATTACCTTTCATTTTCTCTTTCATCCCTAACTTAACCAATCACTTTGTCCTGTGGCCTGATAAAGTTCTGTTCGAACCTCGTGTTCCCAAAAGAGATGCTTGGATCGAACGCACCGTACAATTGTTATCTGTAATCGTCAACTGACTTCACTGCTGTTTCAAAGGCCTTCCTTTTACTCAGCTGGTTGGGGTTTCTTTCCAGAAGCTGCAGCACATGTGTCAAGTAAACGTGGCTCTATCTAAAAATCAATATCCAAATGATTCGTGTGTGAAAGACAATCGTACGCTCCGGGAAAGTTCTTAGTCCGGAGCAGTGATTTAAAATAAAAGCAGGTCGTTATTCACTGATCATTCACGCTTTTTCCACCAGCAATCCGGCTTCTCGCACTCAAAATATACCTCATTGATGGCCCTCTGGTTGTACTTTGCTAGGATGGACACCACTTACTCTGTGTAGCCATAATTCATGTAGGCTCAGGTCTGCATCCTTCATTTGCTTCAATGCTTGACTATGATTTCTGTTTGACCATGGGCGACCACTGACTTTGATTATTACGTAATTTTATCCGCACCCGCTTAGAAAAATAGTTCTTCAACTGTTGGCCTAATGTCATAATGACATAAGCACTCTCCATGCAGAATTTCCAGATGAGATATCGCTCCACGATGGATTCTCTTGTGTTGATTATCTACCAAGGCTTACGGACCACAAGATTCATACCCTGTCTTATCCTGATGGTCCGACAATCATACGATGTAGGCAATTGCGGTTGGTTCAAAGGAATCGGTGTTATTCGAGAGAACCTCTGCAGAGTTTTCCGTGCACTGAATCATCTTTTATTTATATTGAGATGGTTGGCATACATACTAATCTCTGAAAACGAGCTTGTTCGCATTGTTGCATTGTTTGGAACTTGCTGTGTGGGAATATTTCGAAACATTCTTTTTCTTGATTATAAAAACGACTTTGGTTCGCTTTACCATTGTATTCTCATTCAACTTCTGGTTGAATGCATGGTAAACGTGGTAAACTATTTCTGTTTTAGGAAGCAATTTAGCTTTGTCCTCTTCTTACTTTATGGATGATGTCTTTTAGGGCACTATTTTATTTTCATTGCATGTATGTTGGCTGAAGATGTGGTAATTGGGTGCCACTCCAATGCACTGTTTGGAATGTGCTCTGTGGTATTTACTCACTAGGCTATTGATGGCCTTACCTGCACCGATTCCTTCAGTGTATCATGTTTATATTCAGCGGTGAATACCTCGGCGGATTACATGGTTCACTTAAATGTGAATCGCTTTTTCATCTGTCCGACCGAGGCCAATTACCACGGGGTTCGTTCACTTACGTCCGAAACCCACTCGATCAAGGGACAATAACGTGGCGTTCCCGTGTGGGGCGAGGGGACGAACAGTCAAAGCGCACCCCACCAAATAGGTCATCCTCGCTCGGCAACTCACTTCAAATGTACTTTTCTTTGCCCACAGATAAATCAAGTTTTTAATCGACCCGGTACAGCGGTGATGTTTGACGGCTACAAAGAAGAGTAAAATAAAACAAAACATAGAAACATAACAAGGGAGAGGGGAAAAGGACAATGTCACTACATGTATATTGCCATTCTCACCTGTCCGCTGTCTCTTGCATCTGTCATCAACAATTCATCACGCAATTACAACAGTCTCTTCAGTGTAGCACCAATCGATCATCTCGTAATGGAACAACCACACGAAATATGGGTTAAAATAATATATTGAATGCTTTATTCATTATCTGCTTGAGAGCAACCAAAAAAATCGAATTGGTTGAACTTGTGCGTTGTTTGTCAGAGAAGAAACAAACAAATTATGAAACCCTGTTTTGGTTGTTCCATTGTGCATGAGGGAGAGCCTAGTGCGAGCGATACGAATCAGTGCTGACAAACCGCATTCTGGTCAGAAATAACATGATGTGTGTGTGTGTTATTTGTGTTTGGAACGCGGTGGTCTCAGTTTGTATCACTTATTCGTTGTATATTTATTTTCGTCTAGCAAATAGAAATGGAGATTGAGTTCTCCTATTTGGTTCATTAGTATCGAAATCACCCCAGCTCCGGTCCCCTGAATGCTCAGGTGGTTTCACTTCGGAATTTATCCACACAGCGCTCACGTTGTTGTGCGCACCATGCTGGTTGACCGGCGTGTACACTCCACAGGATTAGCTAGTTATATTTTCTAGTGTATTAAATTAAACAAGTTGTTCCTATTCACTTATCTTGCTTTGCGCACATTTTACGTGAATTGCTGCTCACCTGGCTTGGTATCCGTAGACACAAACGGGACTTAAAAGACTTAACTGACTTAAACAAATGCTGATCCTCTTGGGACTGGTTGCTAATTGATAAAATTGCATTGGCTGATAAGAACCGGCGAGTATAAGGGAGAATGGAAAAAGGCAACTGGAGCCTGACTTAAAATTCACGATACATTAACATTTGCCACCAACAGATGTAGTATCTGATTTGTGACAAAACAGGAGTCGTACGTTTGCAAAATACATCCATATTATCGTTTCC